TTAATGATTATTGTATGGCAGTGAGAATTGATGTTGAACATCCTGTAGCACATGTTCACACTCAAAATGGTCTAGCAGAATCATTGATTAAACGACTGCAACTTATAGCCAAACCATTGATAATGAGGACAAAACTCCCCACTTCAGTATGGGGACATGCTATTCTGCACGCAGATAATCTAATTCAGATAAGACCAAGTGCACACCATACATACTCGCCATTATAGTTGGCATATGGTCGAGAACCAAATATTGCACATATAAGAATTTTTGGTTGTGCAGTGTATGTACCAATTGCTCCGCCCCAACGTACGAAAATGGGGCTTCAAAGAAGGCTGAGAATATATGTTGGATATGAATCTCCATCAATAATAAAATACCTTGAGCCAAAAACAGGTGATGTTTTTACAGCTCGGTTTGATGATTGTCATTTTAATGAAGAATTATTTCCCCCTTTAGTAGGGAATGAAAAGTCAATTGAAAGAAATATTGAATGGAGAACATCATCACTATCATATCTTGATCCTCCCACCAAACAAAGAGAGCATGAAGTTAAAAAAATCATACATCTGCAGAATATTATAAATCAATTGCCATATGCATTTACTGACACAAAAAGGGTGACAAAATCACATGTTGCAGCTATAAATGCCCCTGCTCAAATTGAGATTACAAAAGAAATGGCAAATAACGATGTGCCAAATGAATTAAAGGCACGCTTGAAACGAGGAAGACCAGTGGGGTCTAAAGATAAGAATCCTCGAGAGAAAAGAGAAATTCAAGATTCGAATTTGAAAAAGAATCAGGATGATGGAAAAATTTCGGAAAGAAATGAAAATATCGAAATCTCCATCAATTACGTAAATAATGAGAAACTTTGGAAGCGTGATGAAATCATTGATGATGCATTAGCATATATGGTATCACAAGAAATTGATAAAGAAGTTGAGGATCCTGAACCAAAGTCTATAATTGAATGTCAGAAAAGACATGATTGGGACAAGTGAAAATGTGCTATTCAAGCCGAGTTAAATTCACTTAATAAACGAAAGGTTTTTGGACCTATTACCATTATACCCAAAGACATAAAACGTATTGGATACAGATGGGTTTTTGTCAGAAAAAGAAATGAGAAAAATGAGATCACAAGATATAAAGCTCGCCTTGTAGCACAGGGATTCTCCTAGAGGCATGGGATCGATTATGATGAAACATATTCCCCTGTTATGGATGCAATTACTTTCAGATACTTGATTAGTTTAGCCATCCATGAAAATCTTAAAATGCGTCTCATGGGTGTTGTGACTGCTTACTTATATGGATCGATAGACGCTGACATTTATATGAAAATTCTAGAAGGAATTAGAATACCCGAGGCGCTAAAGTCCAAACCTAAAGAGTTATGTGCGATAACACTGCAAAGATCATTGTATGGCTTAAAACAATCCGGGCGTATGTGGTATAATTGTTTGAGTGAACAATTACTAAAACGGGGATACATAAATAATCAAATATGCCCGTGTGTTTTTATAAAAAATCACAAGATGGAGTTGTGATAATTGTTGTCTATGTCGATGATCTTAATATTATTGGGACTACAAATGAAATCCAAGAAGCAATCACTTTACTAAAAGGTGAATTTGAAATGAAAGATCTCGGACAGACCAAATATTGTCTCGGCTTGCAAATAGAACGAGTCCAAAATGGGATATTTGTCCATCAATCTAATTACACTAAACGAATATTGAAACGATTCAATATGGACAAGGCTAATCCACTTAGTACCCCAATGGTCAATCGAACATTAGATGTTGAAAAGGATCCATTTCGACCTTGTGATGAAGATGAAGAAATACTTGGTCCTGAAATACCATAAATGAGTGCAATAGGGGCTCTTATGTATCTTGCAAATTGCACCAGACCAGATATATCTTTTGCTACCAACTTGTTGGCGAGATATAACTCGGCACCTACAAGGAGACATTGGAATGGAATTAAGCATATAGGATATCTATCAGACCCCCATAAAGCAAGATCTCAAACCGGCTACGTTTTCACGATTGGCGGAACTGCATTTTCTTGGCGTTCTCAGAAACAAACATTAGTTGCGACGTCTTCAAACCATGCGGAGATCATTGCACTTCATGAAGCAACTAGGGAAAGTATCTGGCTCAGAAACATGACTCAACATATTCAACAAGTCAGTGGACTATCGAACAATAATGACCCGACGGTGATATTCGAAGACAATGCCGCATGTGTCGCTCAAACGAAAGAAGGATACATTAAGAGTGTCAGAACTAAACATATCCCGCCAAAGTTCTTCTCATATTCTCAAGAGCTTGAAAGAAACAAACAAATCAAAGTTCAATACATTCGTTCAAGCGATAATGCAGCAGATTTATTTACGAAGGCGCTTCCGACGACAATGTTTCGAAAGCACGTACACAATATTGGAATGAGACATCTTCGGGACTTGCACAGATGATAACTCGAGGGGGAGGATGTGTGGCTGTACTCTTTTTTCGTTATCTCGGTTTTTTTTCCCACAGGGTTTTTTCCAGATAAGGTTTTTAACGAGGCAGCATAAACGCACATTTAATAGTGATAATTCCAAGGGGGAGTGTTGTAACAAGTGGAATCTTACCACTAATAATTTTATTACCTTATCTTATATGTATAGAAAAGTGTGCCCATTTGCCTATAAAAGGGGGCCAAACCATTGTAGTGTTTGAGCGTACGAAAAGAAGAAGAAAAAAAAAAAGGCACCTTGTGATTTATATCCGGTTTTTACATTGTGTTGTTTATATTCCTCGAATTTTATAATATAAATAAACTTTTTATTTTTGAAAAAAGAGAATTTATCTACTATTTGAAGAACCCAGACCCTTCACTTCCATTTCACTTCTTGCTACGCATCGTTTGCTCAGGCGAGTAATTTTCCCTTTTCAATCGATTGATTCCGTTCAATTAATTTAAGATGGCGCTGCACACACTTGTGGGCATAAACCTCACCCGTTTGTCACCGGAGAGTTTGTTATCTCCGGCGATTTCCAAAACTCGATGTTCCCTCGCCATCTCCGATATCTCCACCGCCCGTGAGACCGAACCCTCTACTTCTTCGGTTTACTATTTGTTGGCGCACAAGCACCGTTTGTCTCATGATGTGGCTTCACGCGCCGCCTCCGTTTTGAATCCTTTGGTCCCCCAGGAAAAATACGGTTCAGTACTCGCCTTCTTCGTGCAGATGGGCTTCACGAAATCCCAGCTGGAGAAAATCCTGAATGTCCGGCCCGTACTCCTCGCAGCCGATCTTGAGGAAACAATCAAGCCCAAGATCAAGATATTCGAGGACCTAGGCTTCTCCTCGGAAGAAATTGCCGACATAGTGTCGAAGGAGCCAATGATTCTGCACGCCAGCCTGTACAATAAAATCATCCCCACATTGGCCTGGTTAAAGGGCATGTTGGGTTCGAACAAGAAAGTGGCCAGGGTTCTGAGAGATAATGGTCGGTTGCTATTGACCAATCTTGAAAAACACATTTTGCCCAACATCCGGCTCCTGATGAACCATGGGATGACAGAAGACGATGTCGCCAAGCTCATGTATTATTACCCGCGGATCTTACTGTACAAGCGAGAAACTCTTATCAGATGCTTGGACACCAAAGACAAAATGGGCATTTCCTGGAGTTCAAAGATGTCCGTTTATGCCGTCGGGGTCATTTGCTCGATGCAAAACACGAGTTTGGAACGCAAGCTGCAGGATTTTCAGGAAATTCTCGAATTCTCGAACGATGAAGTTATCAGGACTTTGGAACGGGACCCCAAGCTTTTCTGTGTTTCGGAAGATAAGATGAGAAAGGTGAAACAGATTTTGCTCGGGACTGGGAAATATGATACATCATCGATTGCTGAATATCCAAAGTCGCTCATGTTCAGCATCGAGAGGCGGCTTAAGCCGAGGTTTGAGGTTTTGGGGATGCTGGAGAGTAGGGGCCTGATTAAAGAGTGGCCTTGTCTCAGATATGTTTGCGTAGTGGCAGACGAGAAATTCTTTAATGAATATGTGGAACCATATATGAGTGAAATTGGTGAGGATTATTTTGGGAAGAGAGCACTCGATTACAAAAGTGAGACCGAAGTCGTGTAAGCTGGTTATCGGTGCGGATACTCTCGGGGGTGTTTCTTTGTGGCGGCGTCTGGTGGAGCGGTAACTGTTGTTATATAGAAACTTGATTTTCCATTTACTTTCGTTCTTGAATCTTATGTATTTTGTCTGTAGGACTTTGCTAATGTCTGTTTTTTGATGTCCATTGGACTATTAATGCCGTAGTATGAAACACGGTTTTAGTTTAAGAGTGTCTATGATAAGCATAATAGGTTATCAACCATCATCAGCCCAATTTTATTTGTTATATAAGGCTTCTTTCAGTTTATCAATATTATGTACAAAGATATTGATATTTTGAATGTTCTTATGAAAGAAACAAAGTTGTCTTTGTTGGACGATGGAAAACAAATGAAATATATTGTTTGAGTATAAGTGTTTTTTTTGCGTGCTTCCTTCCTCACCACAAGAACTTTCTGTTTAATTATTCATGAATCAGAACATAAATCCTCAATAAGCTCTTGAACACAGACCATGATTTACAACTTCAAATATTCGCCATACTGTTCCTCAGCGGCCTCCGGGTCACTGCAAAATATAAAATTTACATTTAACAAGACGCACGACTCGCACCACAAGAAGTCGCTGAAGAATGACAAGCCTTGCCGGCCGTACATGTGTGGGACGAGCTCCCGCTACTCCAACTGCCTCGATCAGTACCACAAGGCCTCTGCCAAGGTATCATCAGCCACGGAGCTGATCTGCCCGCTCTGCCGTGGCCAGGTGATGGGGTGGACGGTGGTGGAGCCCGCACGGGAGCACCTGAATGCCAAGCGGCGGGGCTGCATTCAGGACGGTGCCTGTTTGTGGGGACGTTCAAGGAGCTGAGGAAGCATGTGCGGGCCCAGCACCCATGCGCGAGACCCAGCGAAGTCCCCGTCTCAGGAGCGGTGGTGGAGGCGGTTCGAGTGGGAGAGGGAGCGGGAGGATGTGATGAGCACCATCTGTTCGTCCACCCTTGGGGCTGTTTTTTTCGGGGACTACGTGATCGAGGGGGGAAATGATTGGATGAGCAAGTTTTTGGGAAGGATAGGGGTGCTGCAGGGATTGACCGGAATCTGATGTCAGTTTTCCTGTTTCTGCAGGCGTTTCGGTCAGGGCCCAGGTGCGGTCGGTAGTTCTGTCAATAAAAGGAAAAAAAGATCCCCTTGCAGTCATAGAAAGGTACGTACAATTTATATATATAAATGTTGAATACAAATTAAAACATTGTTTCACTTTTATAAACAGTATTTTTTTGTTTTTTTTTGAACATTGCTCAACAAACAATGAGAAAAAAAAAAAAAA